GGGCCGCGGTGCCGGGAGTAAACCGAGTGCCTTGGGCCTGCTCGGCTGGGGCTGCCGCTCCGGGGAAGCCCGGGAGGTTGAGCAGCCCTCTGGCTGCGGGAATGGTGCCCGGCTTTCGGCCTCCCCCGGCTTAACGACCCCCTCTCCCCCGCCAGGTGGGAAAAGGCGAAATGAGGAAGGTTCCCGTGCCGGCCAACAGGTACACCCCGTTAAAAGAGAACTGGATGAAGATATTCACGCCTATCGTGGAGCACTTGCAGCTTCAAATCAGGTTTAACTTGAAAACGAGAAACGTTGAAATCAAGGTAAAGAGCGCTCCTTTTCCTGCTTCCCCAGCTGATTGCCGACGCGCAGTGCCTCTCTGTCTAGCTGGTCTTGCCCCGCCTGCTACAGACTAGGGAAGCAGTCTAAATCCCACATAACGCTTGGGAAAACTGCCTCGTTTCACCTCCCGGGAAAGCCCTCACTGGGGAGCAAAACAAAATTTGTCAATTATTCCTTAGAAGCAATTGGTTAATGTAAGCAAAATTTAAAAGTGTTAATCTCTTCTGGAAGGGGGTGTGTCTCCATTTTGATAGGAGAAAATTATGTACTCGAGAACTAAGGAAGAAGCTTAGCCTCTGTGTTAGACACGGCTTTGGAACACTGTTTTCTAGCTCTTTAAGGCTACTCGGTACTTACATGGCAATTTTGAGCTAATGGTGTCTTGCGGGGGGGGGCACAGTATCTAATACTTAAGAAATAAAGGTATCTGATATCTTCTGTTTGTGACAGAAGATAAAGGCCTGTAGTTTAGTAGCTTGTGATTTTTCTTTAATGGATTGCACTGAAATAGCTTCGTGTACAGACACCAATATACAACTGTTAATCTTGTAGCTGCTCATTCTTCATTCTTGTTCCTTCTCAGGGATACTCAGGCTAGCTGTTTTTAAGGGTGTATCCAAAGCTCGCGCTATGCCTTCGACATACAGCTTACTGTATGAGCAGTGTTGATGTACGAGATCTTCTAATGGGAAAATAATAGACACCAGCAGTAATTTTGCTTCCTAACCTTGAAATCTTAGCACAAGTTCGATGGCAGCAGCTAGATGAAAGGTGACAGAAACTATCCCTTATTTATGCTTCCTAGAAATAACATGAAGAAAAAGGCAGGGAAGAGCAGAGACTCTTGCAGTTCCACTGAGTAATAGTGCAGGTCAAAAACTTGGGATTTCAACACTACTTTCTGATACGAAACAGTGTCTGCTTGAAAAGCAAGGTTGTTTTGTTCTTGATCAAGCTGATTAGTTTTGCCCGTATCTATCATGAGTGTAAAAGCATTGAAAGCTTTGAAATTAATTTGTTATTTCTTTGACATGGCATTGAAGCTGTAAATTACATTTCAGAATAGCTTTTATGTGTTCCAGACATTAACATAATTATCTTCCTTAATTATTATTTCCGGCTTTTCTTCCAGCTTCAAAGACTGCTCAATTCTAAGTTGTCCCTGTTGGGGTCTGTAAGTGCAGATGCGCACAGTCCTTTCCGCTGGCAGCAGAGGAATGCTTTGTCCCAGGCTTAGAACATGAGCCAAAAAACCGCTTCCCCCCCCTCCCCACCCCCAGTCCCCAAATCCTGTCACCTCTGCTGGAGGACAGAAAAAACATAAAACACTCCCACATTTGCAGCTTTGTCAGAGTGATTTGTTCCTGCTCCTAATACCTTGTTAATCTTTGTCTTGTCCCTTATGTTTTATTGAACCTGTCTGGGTTTCTAATCACCTGCTGTAATATCTTTAGAAAACTGTCATTAGAAAAACTTTCCCTTCTCAAACTGTCTCCTGCCATCACCTTCTCTCTGTGTGGTTTTTTTTTTTTCTTTTTTTCCTGCTGTTCTGCATTGCAGTTTAGTTTGGGGTTTTGGTTGGTTTTGTTTTGATTTTTCAAAATCTCCTTGGTCACTGGGGGTGCGGATTTTCAGCAGTTTCTCTTTTCCCTCCCCTCCAAACACGGGCTGTGGCAGTTGATGCGTTCTTATTGAGGGTCAACATTAAGCACAAAGAGTGTTATTTGGGTCTTTCAGTAAAATATGATACAGGAGCGTTACCTGAATGGGGCTTTTTTTTGTGGTTAGAGTGTGTGTCTCAGATTTTTCAAATCGTGATCCTGCTTGCATGGTCTTAATCTGCAAACGTAACTTCTTGTCTTGCAGACTTGTCAAGAGACGAAGGATCTCAGTGCTCTAACGAAAGCAGCTGATTTTGTGAAAGCGTTTATACTTGGGTTTCAAGTAGAGGTGAGACTCCCAGCAGCCCAATTGTGAGATTGCTTGAATTTGCTTGCATGAAATCTTTGGCCTCTCTGTATTTTACAGTAAGAAGAAATAAAAATCTTTAGGTGGTTTTCTAGAAATAATTTGTTTGAAGTTGTGACTGGAGTGGAAGTCTCCTTTCTTAAGCTAATGCAGAATAAAAAAAAGTTGCAACATAATTAATATTATGAAATGGAGGACATGTTTAGCTGTGAGAGGCAAGCATGAAGTGACAGTCTGGATGTGAGATGCTCCGTTTATTTTACTTTAGTCCAAATCAATAACTATCAGTCTATTCAATGCTGAAACTTCACAGAAGACCAAACCACTTGTTGCAGCACCGTACAGGCTGCTTGTTGCCCCAGACCTGTACTGACTGCACTAGTGTAGGTGGGTCTGGGGTGAATGTGGGGACATCTTAAGCATGGGTAGGTTCTCTGCCCAGAAGTAAAAATTCAGATTGCTGTTGAAAAAATAGTCACTGTAACTTTAGCTGACTATTTTTTGAGATGTTAAGTGGAGAAATACTACTGCTGTCATCTGTTTATATGTATAAAAAAACATACCAACTTGCTGCTGAGGTACTGTAACATTCATAATAAATCTCTTAATATTTCAGGACGCTCTTGCCCTCATCAGATTAGATGACCTTTTTCTAGAATCCTTTGAGGTTACAGATGGTAAGTAGTTTCTTCTGTGGTACCTAAGCAGCTGTACGTACTGTCTGCAAGTACGTTTGTTTGTTTCTTTCCCCCTGTTCCACTTGTGTCACTTCTCCTTGGGGATCAGGGAAGCCTTCGTGCTGTTCCTGAAAGGGTGTCATTTTTGTAAGATGTCCCAACAAAACTCCTCCAACCTTACTCTTTGAAGAATGAATGTCACTTTGTCAGAGTGATTTGATTTTTCTTGTCATAATGTAAATTGTTTTAAACTTAAAAGGGACACAGAGTGTTCTGGGGAATACATCCATTAGATTTTTCAACCAGAATGGGCTTTGTTCCTACTGCTATCCTGACAGCAAGGAGTGGGAAGCAGGCAGCAGAAACATTTATTATTTCATGTATTACTGGTACTCCTCAGTGTCCTGTTTAGAGCAGCACCTGAATCTGACGCGTTTCATTTCTGCTGGCATTAACTGTGCACACTTTGGCTCTATTTCTTTCCTCAATCTTAATTGCTCAGTAGCAGGGGGAATGCCTTCCACCGCAGTTCCATAGGAGACTCTCTCTCTGCTGCCAGAGGCCTTGCGGTCACATACCACGGAACGTGACTGACTTTCACTTCTAGTCATGTAGGTGAATAGATACATATATATTTCACCTATAGTAAAGTTGCTTTTGTATTACTTAAAGTGAGTTGTTGGAACAAGGAAACTTGGAACAATGGAAGCAGTCCGGAACTACACATCAAAAAATGCTGTTTTACTGAGTGCGTTGTTCTCGTTTTAGTCAAACCTTTGAAAGGAGATCATCTGTCAAGAGCAATAGGGAGAATAGCAGGGAAAGGGGGAAAAACAAAATTCACTATAGAAAACGTAACCAGGACACGAATCGTTCTCGCTGACGCGTAAGTATTGACTTCCTTTCTTCTAGACAGAGTGCAATCCCTAAACTAACCCACGTCCTCTTCCAGGAACAAAGATAACATGCATTTTTTGAAACTGTTGGTAGGGCAGTAGTAAGACAAATCATTTAACAGTTAGCATTCATGAATGCTAACAATTTGAGCATTTGTGACCTTTTGAGAATGATGACAATGTCACCAGCACACCTACAATTGAGTGATTCTACACAGCATAAGAATTCTTCCTTGTGAATAATCAAAGTTGAACCCACTAACCCTGCAACAACGTTTTCCTCCCAAAGCTGCTACGCCGTTCAATTTGCAAACTGTAAATCTATTCTAGAAAGGATTTAGAAGAGCACAGGTTCTGTGTCGTAGGTTTTCTGATTTTGAGTGTTTGGGTTTTTTTATTTACCGCTGTGGAAAAGGAACGAGTACACTCTCTGAAATTTCATGTTCATCTCTCATCTCCAACTTAGGTGCTCTATTAACAGTATAATCAGAGAGGTGTGTTTTTCCACTAACTAATGCTACTTTGCTTGTTACAGGAAAGTTCATATTTTGGGATCTTTTCAGAATATTAAAATGGCACGAACAGCCATTTGCAATCTAATTTTAGGTAAGTTCTGTTACCTAATCTTCTCCATTATATATAAATAGGTCTTGCAGTCTGAGAAGCTGCTTTCTGTGGGTCTTACCTTCTTCCCTGGCGTGTCCACACCTGCATTTGGAGAAGCAGCAGGGACCCCAGGGCTTGGTTTCTGGCTCCAAAACCCTTCCGTGGTACAGAAGGAAAGCTTTCGGCTTTTTGATTTAGCTGCAGCATTCCCCAAGGGGCTTACTCAGTCTTGGGGAGCAGTGCTGTTTTGAACATGCTGTTGAGGACCAGAAAGCTGAAGGGGTCAACCCAGGCTGACAGCAGTGTAACCCTGCGCTTGTGGTAACTGACAGAGTGGCTAATTGACCCTGGGCTTGTTCTCCACTCCAAGAGAGACATAAGCATTAGAGCAAAATATCTGTTTCTGTGACACACGTTGCTGACTGAATTTGTGCTTTCTTCTGCAGGAAGCCCTCCATCAAAAGTTTACGGCAATATTAGGGCAGTGGCCAGCAGAGCAGCTGAAAGATTCTGAGCTGCAGTTATGGCGGCACTGCTAAGGACTGGGAATGGTGGTTTCTGTATGCATGAGAGGCCTAGAGCTACAGAAGCACTTGTCAAGTCTTCTGCTTGATGTGGAAGCCCAGAAGAAAACAGGAACTGTTTTGTGCAGTCTGATTTCTTAATTCAGACATGCTGATTTGAACAGATATAATATCCCTCTAGTCATTAAAAGTTATTTTAAATTGGTTGTGTCTGTATCAGAGGTATGGGTACCTGATTTTATTTAAACATGCTTTGCTATTGACTTTATGAACATCAAAGTGTTAAGAGACTGCAGTGAGGATTTCAGAAAGCCTTTGAGTTTGAGCCTCAGGGAATCAGCCTAGTTAAACGTTCATAACTCTCATCATGGATCAGTGTCTTTCTGGAAAAAGGAAGAGTCACCTGGAATGTAGAGTTCCATGTCAGGCTGCCCAACAAGCCCCTACTGCTGCTGGGACAGTCCATCACACAAAAATGCTAAGACAACAGAGGTAAACAGTCTACTTTGAACTTAATCCTAGAATCTGTGCCTATATAGAGGTTTTTTTTTTTTATTCTCTCACAGGTGATCTGCAAGGGCAGCTGAGGGAGGCAAAGAGCCACCAGCTTAAATACTTGCCAGGGTACCAGAGCACAAACAACTGCCAGGAGCTGTGTCTCCTCCTTAAACTGCTACATGCATGCAGCAGAGTAGGGAAGAGATGACAGAGCCCTACCACAGTCCCAGTAAACAGAGGCCCCTTTTCTCCTGCCCCTGCCAGCCAAACTTGTTACTAAGTCTCCAGCAAAAGAATTCAGTTTAGGTTTGTGAACAAAAAACTGAAATGAGATTATCAAAATTTTCACTAGCAAATTGAGTATGCATTTCTCTCAACAGCCAAGTTTCCAGTGCAGCACTTTCTAATACAAGATGGCTGTTACAGCCAAATTCATTCAAGCCTTTGGTTGCCGTGAGATTTAAGGACTGAGTTACCCAAATGTACAGCTCTGGGCAGTGAGTGAGAGCATGCCCATTTTGAGCACCTCAAGGTAAAGCCACACACCTACCTGGTTAGCACATTTTCTGTTGGTTGGTTATGTCACCTCAATTAGCTTGAAAGATAAGGGGAGAGTGAGGCAAGGACACAAAAGCAGTCTTAATCTTTACCCTAAAGCAGGTGCATGCTGGTACCAACCAAAAGCAGCAGAAAGAGCCAGGGCAGCACACTGGCAGCCCAAGCAGCTGCAGCACAAAGCAACAGCGAACAGCTTCTGCAAAGGACACACCTGCTACAGGGAGGACTGTTGGCACCCACAGAGCTCTCAGGCTGCTCCTGGAGAAAGAAACTGCCTTTCATTCCCCACCTACATTAAGGTTCAGGATTTTTGTTTTGTTTTTTAAAATAACCTACTTGGAACAATCATTCTGAGTGTAGTAGGATTTAAGGTATTTTATCTAATTTGGACATTTAACAAAGTGAACCAGATGTACCTTTAACAAAAAAAAAATAACTTAAGTGGTATTGAAACACTGAAATGAAGCCTGGCAGTATTCAGGAGTGTCTGCAGCCTGTACAGTATTTTAGTAAATCTATAATAAAAGAGGGGACAAAAAAACCTGTGAACAGCAAGTTGTCTTTTCTTTAGAGCAGGATGCAAAGCTGCTTCAAGTTGAATGGGAAAGGTCTAGGTAAGTACTGAAGCACCCCAGCCAAGGTTCAAATATTTTATTTTTGTATTCATATAGTATGAAGGTTCTTATAGTTCCCACAACATATGATGTAGCATGCAGAGGAAAAACTAAACATTCAATATAAATCATTTTTCCCCACACAAACTAAAAAAAAAAAAACAAAAAAACAAAAAACCCCCCCCAAAAACTAAAACCTCATCCCTCCCCTTCCAAACCCCCTAAGGAAATAACATTAGCACTAATTTCTATGCCAGCCAAGATATGCACAAGCAAGTAAGAGAAATCAAAAGCATTTGCTAAAATGTTTGTAACAAATACTTATGTACAAAAAATTCACAAAAGACTAGTTCCCCCTTGAAGCAGAGCACATGGCAGTTGACACTGGAACAGATGCAACCACTGGCTGGGATTATAAGCCACGTACTGATCCAGAGGAAGAAAAGTTACATGTAGTGGAGATTTGTTTTGAACATCAACATTTACCAAAGTTTGGCAACATTATCTTTTACATTATGCAAATTATGTAAACAAGAGGAACATTTCAAATCGATCTACATGCAAAACTTCATGTCATGCAAGGACACCAAGCACCTGGATTTCTCTCTCACAGACAGAGCCCATGACGTGCAGCACTCAGTTGAAGGAACAGCTATGGCAGACAGGTGCTCAACTGAAGTAGGTTCAGACAACCTGCACTTTCCAATGCTGATTATAAAATGATTTTTTTAATAGAAAAACTACTATACAGGAAAGATGTACTGTCCTAAAAAAAAAAAATCTAGCAAGTATTTTTCTCCCAGCCAATAGTACCATTGCAGAAAAGGGAAGGGATGATATAAAGTTGTAAAACATGGCTCGCTACTTTTATATCACACAAATATATCAAGTTACCGTCTGTTACAAATTATGATATGGACAAATCTAGAAAAGAAAAAAATTCTCCAGGCAAAGGACTGGAGAACCACAAGAGGTATAAATTTAGATAGTGTGAAGTTTTCCTCCTCTATGGCGTAGGTTAACAAGATTTTCCCCCTGTATGAATCCTATATACATATATATATATAATATTACCAGTTATTTATGCTACCTGTAGTATTCTTTAAATGCAGAGGGGAAACTATCATGGTTGAAACAACAGAATTTAAATGGCAAGAACATTTTATAATCTAAGAACTGTATCAGCAAAGTTAAGATGGGAATCCGGCATCGATCCTAGTTTCGTTAAGCTAAGCACAAGGGAAAGCCATGAATGCGCCTAACGCCTAACACCTTGAGCGGCTGTATCTAAAATGAATCCAGAACAGCAGATTTGCCTTAACTTCAGGAGAGCTGTAACTGCTCTGCATTCCTAGGTGACGAAATCCAGCGGCCATCAAAGCATTCGGCAGTTACTATATGCACACGAGGGCTAGTTCTTGGCAGTAGCATTAAACTATATTCTCATATTAAGTAGAACTGTACTAAGTTAGTTAGCAAAGAGACACAGTCCCTGGTAATATATTAACAGGTATAAATAAACTTAGTCTCCTGTGTTACAAAAAAATGTAATTAAGGTGAATTAATAAGAAGCAATGCTTTGTCAGCCAGTCAATATATAGAAACATCTGAACAGTCACAGGAAAAGGAAAAGCATTGACCTAACACCCAGTTAAAATTTTACATTCTTCTACTATATATATAAAACTGTGTGAAATAAAAGTAAGGACATATATCCATATATTGAACTGTTAATATTCTGCTTGGCACTTTGTACTCTAGTTTTGTTTCTGAATCAAGTATATTAAATTAAAGCCCACCTAGCTACTACATATAGAAAGCTACATATATATCTATATATAAATACACACACACATATATATATATAGATAGATATTTCCTTGTTATAAAAGATGAAGAAAAATAAATTAAAAAGCCAACCCCTTCCCTTTCTCCACCACACTGATATGCTCTTTCCATCTTTGCTGTCCTTCAGACTTTAAAGTGCTACACTGAGTTATTGAGAGAATAAAAGTTCAATAACACTTAGTTGGCTTCATGAGGCTCATGTTGGAAAATGTGGCTTCACAGAGAAAAATACTTCCATTTAAATACACAGAGAGCATTGCTGGACGTCTTGAGCAGATCTTCAGAGATGGAGAAGAAAGCAAAAGTGTTGGGTGGTGCCCTACAGAGTCACACGTCTACGACCATCTTTTTGTGGATATCTAGGCCTCCTACAACCTGGGAGAAAAGTGTTCATAAACACATGAAAATTGAAAGTTAGTGAGATACAAATTATACACTTCATTCAGAAAATGCACTTGGGTCAATCGTAATTACAGTACCTGCCTGGCCTCTCCAAACTAATTTACATTTCACAAGTACTGCGAGATACATGAATGAATTATCTATTACCCAAGGTAATTATATTACTACAATATAATTACTACTGAAAAAAAACAGTATAAGTTACACCATTTTGGCTTTCCATCTCTTATTCCAACCTTGTATTATGTTTCTGCATGTTAAATGAAGTGCTAACTTTACTTCTAAAACACTCTGCAAAACTGCGCACCTTTACGCGAGAAGCGAGGGAACTTAGGAAAGGCAGCAGGATTTCTGACAAAGCAGCACGCACCAGTGTTCAAAGGTGTACGGTTCATGCACAGAGAAAGGAAAAGGAAAAGTGCAATGGCAGGGGAACTTTTTATAACGCGGAAACAAAATTCAAAGGCCAAGCGCGATGGCCAACTGCCACAACCAAAAAAGTATTTTTGTATAGAGACAGCACAAAATTCAAAGGTAAAATGCAAGAACAAGAGGGTAAGAGATCGTAGGAGTGAAAGGGGACTTGCTGGAGGTCAACAAAAACTGAAGAAACTAAAAGAAACATAGAAGAAAACCAAACAGTAGGACAAGACAGGAAGTCTGGGCAGAAGGACAGAAGGCAACATCCTATTCAATGGATAACCAGAAGACAATAGCCTAGTGCAAGAAATAAACTGGTATTTCACAAATCTAGGTGTTTGCAGGCTACAACTCATTCCGAGTTCTTTGCAGATGACCAAGTGTTTTCACATGATGCCACAAAAATAACTGAACTCTACCAAAAAAATATGCAGATAATCATACCTTTTTACTTTAATAGTTTGGAGGAGAGCAATTTTTTCGGGTTTGTTTTTTTTTTTTTTTAGAATTTGCATTGATCATGAGTATGAACAAGTTATGTTTGACCTCAAGTTATAAATTCAACGAGTAGGAAACAAAAGCAATGCCTGAGTGCCTATGGACTTAAAGTGTGCTACACAGCAGTGTGTTCATGAACACACTATTTAAAA